TCACGTGGCCTTGCAACAAGAAAAGCCTGCAAAATAATTTAAGATGGACAGGTCAAAAAGCAAGGTATTATTTTCTTGCTTTGTTGCAGAAGCATAACTACAATATGGTACAAAACTCTGCAACAAAGGACAAAAGTAACAACATAGAAATGGTATCTCATTGGACTTCGTATTTAAACTTTTTGACTTCGAACTCCTCATATATATACGGCTCAATTGTCTTTTTTAATTGAGTCACATCCAAGAGCTTACCATATTAGCTGGCCTTCACTTCTTTTCTTCTTCAATCTACCTTTACACACAAGCGTTTATGGTACATGGCAATGACAATGCATACAAAACTCAGTAATTTCTAACCAAACACATGTCGTATATACGTCCAAGAGCTCAGCTAATCAATTATGTGTTACGCACGGTACAAGTATACGTGACCTCTAGTTTCCAGTCACTCTTTTCCTATCAACATCTTCATGCTTTATACATTCAATTTTTGTTCTTTCAATCTTACTGAAGAAAACATTGTACGTACTTTTCTCACCGGTACCTAACTGCATGGAACTCTCTAGCTATAAAGATCTAACAAAGATATTTAGAGAAGATGAAAATAATAATATATATGTGTGCATGAGGACATTATATGCCGTAACGTGTGATGGGAGCCATGTTGGGGTCTTTTCGAGTCCTTAAAGTCATGCAAATTATCAGAGTGTGGCTAGGGGAACCTCCACATTTGCTCATTGTGGTTTCCACATGGCGATCAGGGTTTTCAGCCACCTACTATCATCTTCTAGTACTACAAAACCGCGTGCACAACCCTCCCCCCCTCTCTCTCTCTCTCTCTCTCTCTCTCTCTCTCTCTCTCTCTCTCTCATATTGTATACCTATATTAGCAACCGGCTCCACAGACTCTTCGTTTGAAACATTTCATCAAACACCTTTATCTATTCCCACCTTTCGAAAAACAAAAAACACCAATGAGTTCATCACCTTTTTGGGTTACAAGCACTTTTCAAGACACATGGGCTTCCACTATATAATTATAAAGTCCAAAACAATATCATATTGAAAGCATATATTCCACTCAGCTTATACAATAACTAAATTAGGTTAAACCATTATCCCTTCAAATTTGGATGAACTTTTTGCTTGAACAAAACAAGAAAGATAAACAAGTGGCACAATGTGTGTCCATAGATTCAGCTGTGTGGTCTGGACGGAGCCATATGCATATGCAGTACTAGTTATGAGAGCTAGCTACTAACTTCTGCTTATCCAAAACTTTAAGACGTGCAATCCTAAACAAGTACAGTATATCCACAATGAAGAAAATTTTTGGTTTTGATTCCTCGATGCAATTTCACAATTGGATGAATCTTCTTATGTAGGGCTCTTGCGTACCCATTTGGCCAATGTTTTTTTGTTTTGTTTTGCTTATTTTGATGCTTCTTTCCCCAGCTCAACTGATTGAAAGTGAGCAGAGTGACTTTTATGAATAAATAATTTTGGGTTCAAATGGGAAGAATGAAGGCAGTTGAGATTTCACCCGAAAATCAATTCTCGATGGGATAGTAGAGCATCATATAGGCAAATAATCACTTTGTTGAAAACATTCAACTGGAAATTCCAAAAGGTCTGTAATAATTTCGAAACACATCAGCAACTCACTCACTGCATATTTATATCTAAAAAAAACAGGCCTCAAATAGTCAAACTCATATCTCTGGCGTGTGAAGTGAGAGCACGACTTTGACTCGCACCCAACTTTAAAAAAAAGAAAAAAAGAAAAAGAAGAAGATTAAAGCACAATTAATTTCCTACAGTTCCATCTCACCAGCCATTTTTAGGGTTTTTGGCATATTACAAAACCGCGTTAATTCATCGCTGGTTCATTTTCAGGCAGCTCATCATGATGGTTACCATTGCCAAAATATAATATGTTACATGTATATATACTTCCTCTGCATGAATAATTGAATATTAAAATGGCAAGGTCAAGTTCTAGATTATTATTTTTCAAAGACAGAATCCGTGGGAAATAATTGCAGCTTAAATGCCAAAGAATCAAGAACAAATCTTCCAACTGAGCTGTCCCTCACTCTATAACGCGTGTGATTATGTTAAACGAGACAACTATGCATCGTGAAATGGGTGGATAATACCACACACCAACTCCTTTCCGTCACTGCTTAAGCATTTATTATTTCTTAAACATTATATGTAGACTTAGGGAGATTTTTTTGTTGTTGACAAATTAGGGTTTAGTTAATTATCACGCGGTTTCACTTGTAAGGCATATTTAGGGTTTACAGACCAAGAATTACGAGATTATCCTTTTCATAAACATTGAAAATTTGTTGCAATGTAACTCCACCATTAGCTTAACCGTTAAAAATTTCGTTAAGCGATGATGAGTAGTGAATTTCGGGGCCACTTTTTTGGTTGCTTTAGGGTTAAGGAAATGATCATGCCTAAATGTATTAATGTACTAAGTGGGCACGTGTTAACTAAATCCTCTATGATCATAGGTCAATCCTTAAAACCAATCAGCATGCAGTGGCAGCTAGCTCTATAATATAGGGATTTAATTGAGAGGATAGGATCACTTCAGTTGGTTTCTAAGAAACTCATCGAAAATGAAAGGCAAAATTTCAGGGTTCTTTTCTTTAAAAGTATTTTTAAACTGAAAGGGGGAGGAGACACATAGAAAATGGCCGACAGAATTTGAGGGTTAAATGGGACCCAATATCATTTGGAGTTTGGACAAAGACGAAGCCCCTGCACTTCTGTGCAGATTCTCATGGCTCATTAGCCATGGACCACCCGGGGTCCGATTTGAAATTCAGACATGTGGCAGCATCCCACAACCATTAACTAACTAGCATTTTGTGCACCATGGACCACCTAAAGCCTCGTCCCAACCTTAGAACTGGTTATATGGAAATGGAATATGGACAATGGGTGGGGAAGCTTGCAGAGTGAGCTCTCCCAATCCAGGAAATAATAACAAAGAGGAGCTCACAAGCAAAGTCTCAAATGTGCCCAAAATTGGATTGCTTGATTTTGACGGTCTCCTGGGTTACCATGATTGACTAGAACTACTCAGATGAACACGCTAAATAATATCTCCATTGTTTTTCAGGTTACAAAATGACTCGATAGTTACTATATCATGTGACAAGTGACGTGACAATTTCTTAGCTAGATTTTAAGCAAGCTGTGAAACTGATGGGTTTGATGTAAAGGCTATATCTGCGAATGAATCCATGTTAATAACAAATTAATCCAAATTAAACAAAAATTAAAAACTTGATTAATTAGAAGTCGATGACTCAAAAGACATTCGTGTACTTGAAATGGAGATGTTCGCTTTCAGGCCAAAAGGGATGACGTTGGCCTGTCGGTGCTTCACTGGAAGTCAGAATTGAGTGCCTTCTCTTGGACATCCAATACAATACCCTATCCACACCTATCACGAAAAAAAAATGTTTAATATTAATTAAGGGAATAATGACATAATTACCACATATGTCAAAATTAATTGCCGCCAAAAATCCTTGCGTATATATTCATTTTCTTTTTCTTTTTCCTTTGTTTTGTATATGTATGCTTTTTTTTGTTTATCAAATGTAGAATCAAATAGCATGGATACAAGGATTTTAATGGTTCACAATTAAGTTGAATTTATAACATGCAGAGAGTTTTCGTTGAGGAATCCCTCAAATACGAGGGACACTCTTGTAAGGTCCACTTCACATTGTATTTCACTAATCCAAATTGTCTATTTTGTAGATATTCATTCAAAGATCATCTCTATAAAAAAATCACTTGAATCCGATATCATTTGACCATTCAAAGTACTTTTTTGAAGCACCATATTCATTGATTTTGTTGGTCTCAATTAGATGTCTTAATAATTTTCAATTTGTCTAATTTTTTGCAAGGAAGATCTATGAATGAAGAATTGAAAAATAGAAGGTTTGGATCATTGAAAAAAAAAAAATCATAAGGATCTAGAATTCCTCAATGGAAGGAGACTGTTATATATATATATATAGGGTATCGTACAAAAAAATTTTCAACGATCCAAACCATTCATTTTTTAGGTCTTCATTCATAGATTATCCTTGCAACAAATTAGACAAATTGGAAACCATTTAAACATAATTGTGTCCTACAGAATCAATGAATACGGTGCTTCAAGAAAGTGCTAAAATTTCAATAATTTAATCGAGTAGTCAAATGATATTGGATTTAAGTGATTTTTTTTTATAAACATGATCTTTGAATAAATATATACAAAATAGAAGGTTTGGATTAGTGAAATACAATATGAAGTAGGCCTTACAAGGGTGTCCCTTAAATAAGCTCATTTGAGAGATCCTTCAATGGAAGCTCTTTGTATATATATTTGTATATGTTATGGGTAAAAATATATAAAATGGAACCAAAAGCTAAGTATGAATATTACCATCATATATAAGAATCTATGTCTATATCTCGGAAGCAGCACTTATGCTATAAGACAGCTAGCTAGCTGTACTGTACTTAATTGTATAATTAATTCAAATTAATTAGGGAAGTACGTGTGCAAAATTTTAATAACGATGACGATATCCGTAAAGCAACTAGTTAATCAAAAAAGAGTGGTACTTTTATTGTTATAACAATTATTGTTAAGATGAGCCAAAAAGAACATATAATTGTTAATGATCTTAATTATAATACGTAAGCAGCTCCACTGCGTTTTTCTCTGGTCAAAGTATCGGCACCGTCAATTCATTATTCATACTGTCGGACTTGTGTCTCTTTTTGGTTGTTCCCTCATCTTCCCCTCGAGCAAGCCATGATGAGGCCCCTTCTCTCTATATATATGCATGCAAATGCTCCATTTTCCACAACTTCTCTAGCTCGCTCTCTCTCTCTCTCTCTCTCTCTAAAAGTTTTCAATCTCCAAAAGCACTAAATTAGTAGCCAAGGAATTAACTAGGGCTAGCTTGAAAATGTTGTCGAAAAAAGCAAGTTGTGACTCACATGGGCAAGACTCTTCCTACTTCCTAGGGTGGCAAGAGTATGAGAAGAACCCTTATGATCCAGTTCAAAATCCAAACGGCATCATTCAGATGGGACTTGCAGAGAATCAAGTAAGCAGCATGAAATTTTAGCTAGCTATACTTTGTGTGTCAAATAAAATATTTATGTCACATCCGGTGACGTGGCCATGCCTCAAGTCAGCAGCACAATGAAGCAAAATAATAATAATATAATGTGATTAGATGGTTGTTGAACAAGTTGATCACAAATCTAAGTTGGTTGGTGATTTTGAGTGCGTGTGCATGGTCTTTAATTACATGTGTATTATTATTATTTTTATTGTTCTTAATTATTAATTAGTGTCATAATATTTTTAGACATTCTCAGTCTCTTACGCAATTCCATTTCCAGTAGTGGCTGACATTGATTTATACAACACGTACGTATATCTCTCCTTGCAGCTTTCGTTTGACTTGGTTGAGTCATGGCTTGCAACCAACCCGGACGCACTGGAGCTGAAAAGAAATGGAGGATCCGTTTTCAGAGAGCTGGCTCTCTTTCAAGACTATCACGGCTTCCCTGCTTTCAAAAATGTAATATTCCCTAAATTCTTCTCTCTTTTATAAGTATTTATATACTCACAATCTTTATAAAAAATGGTGACTAACATTCACTGGTTTATATATATATATGTACAGGAGCTGGTAGAGTTCATGGCGGAAATGAGAGGTAATAGAGTAAAATTCGATCCAAACAATCTCGTGCTCACGGCTGGTTCAACTTCTGCAAATGAGACTCTCATGTTTTGCCTTGCTGAGCCTGGCGAAGCGTTCCTCCTTCCCACTCCATACTATCCAGGGTATGTATGCGTCAGTTACTCCCTCACTACACTCGAGAACTTTTTGTATGCACCAGTTATAAATAATATCTTTCTCACAATACGCATATAGGAAACTCACTACATATATAACAGTGAGTCTCACATACATATATAACGGCGCATACAATACTTTTTCCACACGTATAACTTCTTAATTAGTATTTAATACTTAATTAAGTTTGCATATTAAACTTAAACTTAGTTTTTGTTATTAAATATCGCTTTTATTGGCAGGTTCGATAGAGATCTTAAGTGGCGTACCGGAGTTGAAATTGTTCCCATACAATGCACAAGTGAAAATGGCTTCAAAATCACTGCGCCTGCATTGGAAGAAGCCTATCAAAGAGCCCAAGAATTCAATCTAAAAGTCAAAGGGGTGCTGGTCACAAATCCCTCAAACCCTTTAGGCACAACAATGACAACACTGGAGCTCAACCACCTCATAGACTTTGCTGTTGCAAAAGAAATCCACATAATAAGCGACGAAATATACTCAGGAACAGTCTTCAACTCTCCTAGTTTCGTAAGCATCGTGGAAGCCGTAACCGAAAGAAACCTAGAAGACACTGAACTATGGAACCGCGTCCACATTGTGTACAGCCTCTCTAAGGATCTTGGCCTGCCGGGTTTTCGGGTAGGCATGATATACTCAAACAATCAAACAGTTGTGTCGGCCGCCACAAAGATGTCAAGCTTTGGACTTGTCTCTTCACAAACTCAATACATGCTTTCCCAAATGCTCAAAGACAAGAAATTCACAGCCAATTACTTGAAGGAGAACCAAAAGAGGCTTAGAAAGAGAAGGCAGATGTTTGTTTGTGGGCTCAAAGGGGCAGGGATTAGGTGTTTGAAAAGCAATGCTGGGTTGTTTTGTTGGGTGGACATGAGGCACCTTTTGAAGTCTAACACTTTTGAAGCTGAAAAGGAGCTTTGGATGAAAGTGGTTTGTGAATTTGGGCTCAACATCTCTCCTGGGTCGTCTTGCCATTGCTCTGAACCGGGTTGGTTCAGAATGTGCTTTGCAAACATGTCCGAGGACACACTCGATGTTGCAATGCAACGTGTCAAGGCCCTTGTGGAGCCCACCATGGTTCACCAATCGGTGGTCTCTAAATCAACTTGGTTGCAGACCAAGTGGGTTTTTCAATTGGCTTCATATGATCGTGAACCAGACCGTTAATTAGCCCAAGTGAAATGTTGAAGTTATTTGTTTTGCTCATGAAGCCTAGCTAAGCTAGAGATTTAAGTATGTGATGATTGCAGATAGTGTATGTTTCATCACCAGAAAATGTAGTCAAAATATTGTATTTATTCATTGTGTTTCTTCTCGTACTTTATTTGTATCGAAAGTACTTTATTTTGTGTGTTGTACAATTGTCAGTTTGTAATATTCAGTTTAAGAATATTGGAGATTATAAAGCAACGTATTGAAGGCCCTGCAGTTTGGGCTGGACTACTCCAGTTGCTCAACTGGCAAAGACAGCCTAGACAAACAGGTATTGGATATGACCCAATTGGGCGGCTTGCAAACTAAATAAGATGTTACGTATTTGGACAGTTGGATTGTCTTCCACGTGGCTTTAGCTGTCACCCGTGCAATTTTTTTTTATACAAGTAATACTAGGGGAGGGGGTATCCAACTTAGAACTTCAAGTGGAAAAAGTGAATACTCTTAACCAATTTTTTTCTTTGTTTTCCATCAAAATCTACTTGTAATTCCAACCATTATATTATTGCTAGCTGTAAACAAAAGAGAAAAGACAAGCACAAAAGAGAAAAGAAAGGGAGATTGCTAGCTGACCAACAGGACCTCTTTAGGAAAGAAAGCTTCCATTGGTTGTACTGTTGAAACGATAATTTTTGCATCTGTTGGGCCTGAATTTTTCACAACAAAAAAAAGGGGTGGCAACCCATTTAAAATAAAATAAAATAAAATGCCAGCTTGTATTTGAACGGGACTGAATTTTTCCTCCCTGCAAGTTTATCAAAAAATATACAAGTGTTTGCCAAGCATCAAACACTGAAGGATAAGCATCCTAGCTGAGAAGTGGCTATTCACTTCAACTCAAACTCCTCAAATCTCATGCTCTATAAAAGAGTCATGCCTACGATAAAAAAAGAAAAGAGAAAAAGGAGGAGAAAGAAAAGAAAACAGAGAACGGAAAGAGAAAAAGGAGGAGAAAGAAAAGAAAACAGAGAACGGAAAGAGAAAAAGGAGGAGAAAGAAAAGAAAACAGAGAACGGAAAGAGAAAAAGGAGGAGAAAGAAAAGAAAACAGAGAACGGAAAGAGAAAAAGGAGGAGAAAGAAAAGAAAACAGAGAACGGAAAGAGAAAAAGGAGGAGAAAGAAAAGAAAACAGAGAACGGAAAGAGAAAAAGGAGGAGAAAGAAAAGAAAACAGAGAACGGAAAGAGAAAAAGGAGGAGAAAGAAAAGAAAACAGAGAACGGAAAGAGAAAAAGGAGGAGAAAGAAAAGAAAACAGAGAACGGTCGGCCTTCAGCCTGCCTTCGGCCTCCAGCCTTCGGCATCTGCCTTCGGCCTTCGGTATTCTTCCTCTTCTCCTTGAGTCTAAACCTATGTGCAATGTATACTCACATTATCGTAATGAGAACATACTTCTCCGTGGACGTAGCCCATTATTCGGGTGAACCACGTACGTTTGTCTTCTGTATGCATGTTTACTTGCTTACCGAATGCTTTCACATACCGAGGGTCCTCACCTTCAACATTCACCTCATCTTTAAGTTGGTCTATTTACTACCTGTCTAGTTTTAGCACTAACAATAATATTTTTTTTGGTCTAAACCACGAGGTGGTCCTGGATTGGCCCAAACTATGGGTGACACCTTTAAGCCTTAACCACAACCTAGACTAATCCCCGCTCACACCGGGTCGGCCCATAAGGTGTAAAGTGCTGGCCAAAGTGGTGACTCCATACGAGAGTAGGGATTGAACCCCTGACCTCTCTTAAGGAATGAGAGTACCGAACCACTCACACCAACCACCTTGGTTAATACTATAACTCTTTTTCAATTGGTCAATTTCTATATATATATATTTTTTAAAGTTAGCATTAATTAAATATTTAAAATAGTCATAAAATAAAGCAACATTAAATTATAGGGAGTCACTAGGAGTCCTTTCTCTCTCCTCATATTTAGGAGCTCCTAGAGATCTTTTTATTTTAGGAGGTGGATAGGGAGCATGGTTGGAGTTGTATTTTTCCAAATCATCCATAAAATTTGTCTAAGGAGATTATTTATGGAGCCCATTGTAGATGCTCTTAAGTTGTGTTAATTGGATGGACATGTGTCAAGATTTGAGATAAGAGACATAGGGAGACAAAGAAATTGGGGTCAAAGGATCTGAACTCTTATATATGGCCCTTAGGTGAGGTTCTATATTTTAATCGTAGAATCAAGCTAACCAATTTGATCCAATGGCTAACCAATTTGAACTAACAGTTAAGAGATAGGCCTCACCTAAGGGCCATATATAAAGCCGTCACTATAGAATTCTTGCTATAATTCTTATAAAAAAATTTGGGATTAAGTTGAATTCTAATCCTACTAAGTTATTGTAGCAAACACATTATTGAATTAGTGTTATATTATTTTCGATCCAATCCAGTTCTACCTCATAATATAAAGTGTTAATGAGTAACAAAAAGACTTCATTTCCACATTGTTCTTATAGAAGCACTTCCTTAATAATGTCCTTTCGTCTCATCTCGTAGATCCTAATGGGCCGTTTGTTTTGGGCTTAACTTATTCTTGATCGGCTGCACGCCCACCGCTGTTTGCAATCACGAAAGTCCGAGTGCATATTAATGAATGGATGTAGCGTAATGCGCACGCCAAAAAGGACTGAAAATCAATACGAAAGAACCTTCGGCAGTTGCATATACCTGTACAGTTGGACGTGGCTGTCCGCCACGTGGCTTTCCCTTTGGTCCTGCGATTTTTTGAGTGAGAGTGAAATACACAAACGAACGTGTCATTCCGGGATACCTTTACGTATTTCTCCGAGACAAAAAGTTGGTTCTTCGCTTTCCCTTCTTCCCCAATCATTGATCTCCTTCTCTTTCTCTTTTTGCCTGAGAAACCTTTTTTAGGGTTTTCTTTTATTTATTTTTTCCTCTGGAGTTTCTGTGAAGTCGAAGCGAAAGCGCGGCAATGGCAATGGCCATGGCGTACAAGCCTTAATTCGACTCTCGCTTTGCAATTCGGTTTATTTCGCTTTATGTGCAAGACCCGCTTGGATCACTTGGAGTTTGAATTACTCGGATTGGTTCAGGTACTCGTTTTTCTTCTAATTCTGCATTTCTTTGATCTAATTAATTATTGCGGACTTTGTCTGTCTACTTTGTTTACAATTTTCACAGAGTCTGAATCTTTCATCAAATTCTTAATAATTGATTGTTTGAGATTTCTGTATGTGTGAAATTCAACGGTTGCTTCGGTATGTTGTTGCATATCATTTGAATCGAAGCAATGTGAGCAGCTTTTGTTTTGTCTTAGTGAGAAATGAAGTTGAATTTGGTATATGAATAAGGAAACAAGGACTTATGGATTCTACTTTTAAATTCAGATAGGTAGGAAAATTGCAGCAGCTGAGTGTTCAGCTGATGGTGTAATCGGGATGTCTGGAATTTAGTGACCCTCGGGATGTCTCGTGTGTGTTTCGTTGGGTGATAAGATACTTGGAAGCTTGCAGATATAGCGTACAGAAATGAATCTTGCAGCTCTTTTGACTTCTGCTGGAATTAATATAGCTGTGTGTGTGATACTTTTTTCGCTGTATTCGATATTGAGAAAACAACCAAGCAATGTTAATGTCTACTTTGGACGAAGAATTTCAATAGCCACAAGAAGAAGTGACCCCTTCTGCTTGGATAGATTTGTTCCATCTGCTAGTTGGCTATTGAAAGCCTGGAGAACGAAAGAAGAAGATTTATTGGCTGTTGGTGGCTTGGATTCTGTAGTTTTTATCAGGATGGTTGTTTTCAGGTAATTCAACCCTGCCCAGATTATTATGCTTTATGTTTGTGCCATTTCAGTCTCAGCTCAAGTCCATGCTTGTACAACAACAATTTCTACTGAATGGGTCTATGATTTCTCACTTCCCTTAATTGTTTATCTATTCACAGCCTTCGAATATTTTCCATTGCTGCTGTCGTATGTGTTTTTATAGTGCTTCCGGTGAATTATCATGGGCGGAAGATGCTTCATCAGCACATCCCTTTACAATCCTTGGAAGTATTTACCATCTTGAATGTTCAAGAAGGTTCAAAGTGGTATGAGATATATAGTCCTGATGATTAATCCAATTTCTAAAGAAAGAAAAGATTTATCGTATACTCAATCTTATTGTACACATTTGAAGGTGTAGATAGCAAACAAATTTTATGAATCCGCATATTATTTTGTCTCAATTTTGATGAATTTAAAATATTGATTTAACTTGTTTTGTTATATACACCAGGAAACTAGTTTCTTATTGGTTATTTTCTCTCTGTTGTAATTCATGTCAGGCTCTGGACCCATTGTCTCGCATTGTACATTATTACCTTTTCAGCTTGTATTCTCCTTTACTTTGTAAGGATGTAAACCCTATCTCCTCTATCTGTTGTTGTATATTGTAGTATATATAATTTAAGAAGTTCTTCATCTTGCCTTTAATCCTTACAAATATAAATATCTTAAGACATTAAGTCTATGAATCTGTTGTGGTTTTTCTGTAGGAATATAAGACCATCACTAAAATGAGGCTGGCACATATCACTGCATCTTCTTCAAATCCAAGTTACTTTACAGTTGTTGTTCGTGCTATTCCCTGGTCAGTGGAAGAATCATACAGTGATTCAGTAAGAAAATTCTTCACAAAATATCATGCATCAAGCTACTTGTCACACCAAATGGTGTATCGATCTGGTAAAATTCAGAAACTGATGGTATGTATGTGGCTTGAATTATTTATACTGTTTCCCTAGCAATTTAATTGTTTTAAAAGTTCTTAAAATCTTTAAATTACACAACAGTCAAATGTTCTATTATTGGCTTATACTGTCATAACTGCTAGCATGACTTGCACTTAGACCAATATCTGGTTTAAGGATATATGAAAAATATATGCTGGGTTTTTATGGAAACTGAATACAGGATGCCTGATTTTTTTTTCTGCCATTGCATTTGTTCAATCATTCCCCCTAAACAAAATTGAATGTTATTTTTTGGTTTCTGTTTTATGTCGATGAATTTTCAAATTTAGGAGTTGCAACTACACCCATTTGACTAATAATCAAGTCTTACAGAGGATTTGACTAGTAATCAACTACACCATTTATTGCTTGTATATTTTGGTGTGCATTCAATAATCAGAGACTAGACAGAGGATATGGAGTCATCAACTGTCATGTCTTTGTAGAAGATAACATAGACTACTATGGGGTTTGGTGTGCAGCCTGCAATAATTCGGATTTTAGTGTATGATTTTAAGAGTTGCAGTGCACGTTGTGTCAGGAAAAAGGAAAACGTATGTTTACTATTTTATGATTTATCAGTTGGTGCTGAAATTTGGTATGTGAAAGAAAATAAGATAAACTTGATTCTGTATTGGTGATTTTATTCAGTAGTTTAAGTTGTAGGATTCTAAATGCAAAGGAGAATGAGCAACTTTGCAGTTGATTCTTGCATTTTCTTTTCAGTTTCTGTTTTGAGGCAACTATATTCTTGAGAGATTTCCTCTAAGTAAATACCTCTTTGTTTTTATATTTTTTAAGGTATAATACTGAATTGATGAAAGGAATCTTTATTGTGATGAATATTGCTTCATGGTATTTCTACCCCTAGATCCATAAATTGAACTGTGAAGTTTATTTTATTTTATTTATTTTTAATATAACAAATTTGGAATTTACATGTTAAACTTTGCAGAGTGATGCAGGGAAGGTGTGCAAGATTCTTAAGGATGCTTCTGTTGACCAAACCCGTAAACCAGATTTGTTTCAGTGTGGTTTTTGTGGAGGAGCTACTGATTCTTTTAAGATTCTCTCGAACGAAACAGAGAGTGTTAGAGGGAAGTCATCCCTTATTGACGATGGTGTGGGTGGAAGAAAAAAGGTCACACAAGCTCTGGCCCCAATTAATTTAACTAGCTCTGGTTTTCCATCACATATACATATACAACTAGTGGTTGTGTATGGCTTGACTCTTTTGCATCTGGTTTGGTCCCTTTAAAATGGTTTGGCAACCATTGAGTTCTTAACAAATTCTGTACTGCAGTTTAAAGGCAGTGATGCCAATATTCCTTTGAAAAATATTGTTTTGTTGTAAGCGTTCTTAGTATCGTCATTTATTCTTGCTTTATTCTAGATGTTCCTTATACGGTTGGCCACATGGTATTTTGGCCCTAAGCATGATTTTGGAAACGGAAGTATCTTTGGTGCGATTGGTTTTTATTTATAGAAATAAAAGTAATGTTGAATGAGTAATTAATATTTATATATAATGTATGTATTTTATTTATGTGAGTTAATAGGTTTATTTCGAATAAAATCCCACACACACACATACAAGCACATATATTTATGCCATTCTTCCCGTAATTAGTCCATTTATATATGGCGCAAGTATGACAGAACCTAAATCTGCCAAGTAGCTAGCTGGCCAAAGTTCCCACATGGAAGTCATAGTCATGAGGATGAATCTGGCCTACATAGTCTCTTCCCCATAAGAAAAATGAGGATAGACATTTTCATTTGTGGTTCTGTTTCTTTGACTTGTTCTTGTCATATAAATGTTTTTCTGCGAGTCAGCCAAAACTTTTTGTGGAAATTGAAAAATTGTAACCTAAAATATGTGGGGTCTTACATACAGGTGTGTGCTGCTGCTTTTGTCTTTTTCAAGACTCGCTATGCTGCTGTTGTTACTTCACAGGTGCTTCAGTCATCAAATCCCATGTTATGGGTGACAGATATGGCTCCGGAACCAAATGATGTTTATTGGTCAAACCTTTGGATACCGTACGGACAATTGTGGATCCGGAAGATAGCTACACTTCTGGCTGCTATTGCCTTTATGCTTGTGTTTCTTATTCCCGTCACATTTGTTCAAGGCTTGACTCAACTAGAATTTCTACAAGCAGCATTTCCATTTCTGAGAGGACTTCTTAAGAAGTAAGTAAACGATGACACACATTTTGTGCTTGTTACTGTTTTTTTAATGCTATTTACCATATTTTTTTTGTTATGCTTGACACGGACATTTTGTGCTTGCAGGAAAATTATAAGCCAGCTGGTGACGGGGTACCTGCCAAGTGTGGTTTTAATTTTGGCTTTTTACTCAGTTCCACCAGTTATGATGCTATTTTCGACAGCAGAGGGGTGTATCTCCCGTAGTGGGAGGAAAAAGAGTGCCTGCTTCAAAGTTTTATACTTCACAATCTGGAATGTCTTTTTTGTTAATATTTTTACTGGGTCTCTTATCCGCCAATTGAGTGTATTTGCTAGTGTGAAAGACATACCTGTGCAACTTGCCAACGCAGTTCCAGCACAGGTGATATGCCCTTGATTATTAAATCCGATACATGTGCCTACTGTTTTTTTGGCTTCAAGTTCTGAACTAATATGCTTTGCAATTGAGAAGGATTAAGCCCTCTACTCATAGATATTACTTTGTCCATTTGCAATTGTCTTCTTATGTAAACTTCAAGCCATTTTAATTTGAACTGATGGTCATGAGGGTTAACAAAGTGACGTAAGAGTTTTATAAGAGTTAATGATCTTTAGTCCTCGTGCTAGTAATGAGATCCTTATAAAAGTTTTCCAGTCTTTTTTTATCTTAGAAAGTGTAGAGCTTTAATATTGATTTTAATTATGAGTATGGTTTCAAATTTTCAGGCTAAATTTTTCATGACTTATGTTTTATCATCCGGTTGGGCAAGCTTGGCATGTGAACTCATGCAAATTTATCCTCTTCTCTGCAACTATTTCCGAAGGTTCATATTACTCAAGGATGGGTACAATGACACACTAACGTTTCCATATCATACAGAAATTCCTAGAGTCCTGCTGTTTGGGTTCGTTGGCTTCACCTGTTCCATCCTGGTTCCCCTAATATTGCCATTCTTGCTGGTTTACTTTGTACTTGCTTACCTTATATATCGAAACCAGGTGAGGACTCCTCCTATCAATGCTTTTTAACATCGTGCATTCCATGGGTTAGCATTGGTTTTTATTTGCTGTTCTTATATGTTATTATACATCAAAGCAAGTAAACCCGGTATCTTGTACATGAGGTTATAGCTACAACATTTTTATGCAAAATCTGCATAGAATGAAGTTGCACTTATTTTCTTGTTCTGTGCTCTTTAAGTTGGAAGGTAATATTAGTGATATTTCCGGAAACACATGTTCTTAGTGCCTGTCTGGTTGTGTTTGCAGACAGTTTTGGAATGGAAATCACATTGTAGAAGCTCATTTTCTGATTTTAGTTTTGTTAGGTTTGAAGGAAATTTAGATGTTGTATTAGATTTGTTGTGGTTTCCTTTAGCTTTTGGTCATCAAAGTTACATTAAAGGCCTCGTATAAAGAATTAAATAAAAAGTTGAATAAAGGATTTTCTTTTTGCAGGTGCATTCACAATGTTGTATTACATTATCATATAGCGTTCCTTATTGTGTAGGTCTATGTTATGGGCGTCATGTGTGGTGTTTTACTTTATTGTTTTTTTCTTCTTCTTAGTAATTGTGTTTAATTATTGTCCCCAGTTCATAGTTATTTTTCTTTCTTTGGAGAATCAAATAATGGATTGAATCTTAAAATGCGCATTTCAGATTCTCAACGTGTATATACCAAAATATGAAAGTGGGGGACAGTTCTGGCCTATGATGCACAATACAGTCATTGTTTCATTGATTCTTATGCAAATAATTGCCCTCGGTGTCTTTGGATTAAGAAGATCACCAATTGCATCAGGTTTCACTATCCCACTGCTTATTTTCACCCTTCTGTTTAACGAGTACTGTCGACAGCGGTTTCATCCGATATTCAGGAACCACGTTTCAGAGGTAGTGATTCAAATTGGACTTTCTGCATGTGTGTGTGTCTGAGACCATTACGTCTCTCTATCTCTTCTGAATCTTGATGAGGGCGTTGTTTACAGATTCTCATGGAGATGGATCGAAAGGATGAGCAATTGGGGAGGATGGAAGAGGTTTATAAACAGCTGCATTCAGCTTATTGCCAGTCCCCAGTCACTCCTGATGACTCATTCAATTCTGGAGACGTGAATCATAATGAGGACGGGGACAGCATTCAGGATCCAGAGAACGTGAACCCAGGTTTGCTTCATCCAACACTTGGGAGAGTTCCTGTATCCGGCATCAATGTTGTAATTGCCTGGTTTTTTGTGCTTTTCTCTTTTCAGGGAAAGAACCTAGCCAAGTAAATCCAACATGGGATGTTACTTTTGATACAGCAGAATCTAGCCAGAAGTAAAATGAGTTTTCGTGGTACATAATTGACTGTATTTTTTATACCCAAATTCAAGTCCATCCGTTATAAATTACCATATTTGATGGTGCCTGCCGGAACGAGATGCTTGGACGAGTAAAAGATTATCTTGAGGAGCACGTTCTCGTTTTGGCCGGAAAATACCTTTGGAAGCCTTGTAGAGACACAACTCGAGTGAGACATTTGGTTTCAAAGTTCAGAACTTCCACAAGCATACAGTCAGGCTCTTTCTTTTTCCTTTGTTTATCCCAGTTTTTCTTTATTGGAAATCCAATAGCAACTGTTATTTTGTACAGTTGTGGTTGAGCAAGCAAATAGTTGTGCATATAGTTGTAGCCCTTGTGGGCTTTTCATATTCATAGTGATGTTCAGTATTTTTATACGCCATATGTGCTCAAACATTTCAAAATATATGGAAGTTAGATTATTTGATTCTCCAAGCAACAGAATGAATTGCATATATGTATGCTTGCAATGATTCGAAAAACTCATCCCCATCTTCCTCCCCAAAAGAACTAAAAAGAAAAAGCATCTGCAGAAAATTAAGATTTCACATCCATGGGCAAGGAAGCATCTTCATCTCTTTTGTTCAATAAACCTCTCCGGAGCCACAAGACCTGCATGAACCCGCCATTCGCAACATGCAGAAGAAAAACTCGGGCTTGCATTGGTAGGCCAGCAGAGAGAAACTTAACAGCAGCAAGAAAGCAGCCTATGCCTAAAAAGTGCTTTTCAAGTCCACTCTCCTCTGAGCTTGGAAGCACTTGCTGCAACGTCTCTTTCAAGACATCAGTCAAGAAGCACCCAACAAAGAGACCAAAGGGCATGATCAATTCATAGTTCCTGGAGACGGAAAATATGATATCTGATAAAAAACTAAGGACACCCAAGCTGATAAAGGACCATTTTAGTGCCTTGTACCCAAGAAGAAGCAGCTGCTCCAAAGCTGTATCTGCTGCTTTCTTCCATGGAAGCTCTTTCACTGGGACGGGTATGGCTTCCCACAGCTTCTCCTTCACGACACTGATTTCAATTTGCTGCTTCTGCTTGTTTTGTTTACTGGGTTCGCCAAATTGTGCCATGGAGGACACTGCTTTTACGCAGCTTGAGGAGAAGGGTCGGCGACGGAGATGTAAAAGAAAGCAACTTTTGGATTGGCATGGTTTCCGTTCAATGACATTAATCTGAAATAGAGAAAATTAAGAACCAATCAGTTATCCAAAAGTTCGAAAATTTCAGATATTTCAAATAGTTGGACATTTAGTAGAGTGAGAGAGTGAAGAAGGGTACCGGAAATTTGGGGGTTGAAGACGAAGGCGACGCAATAGACGCCGGAAACGCCATTGATACCGTCTGGTTTCTTCCTCTTCTATCTCCAGAGTTTTCTCCTCATTCTCTAGGGTTTAGCTGATGATGCCAATTTGGGGCATTTCCAATTTCCCACAATATTCAAACGTAAAATTCACGGGCTTATTTTATTATTTTTATAAATGAAAAAGTAGTAATTTCAGTTTTGGGTCAGGCTGGTTAAGGTTTGAAGAGTTTGGACCCAATACAAATCTACTGGGCTTATCCGACAAAAGAAAAGGATTTTGGGCCTTATCATACAACATGAAGCAAGAATTCTAATGAGGGCCTTATATATGGACCTTAAATGAGGCCCCATTTCTTAACCGTTTGATCAAATTGGTTAGCTTGATTCAACGGTTAATAAATAGGACCTCACCTAAAAGCCATATATAAGACCCTCACTATAGAATGACTCCAACATGAAGACCCAATACGATAAGAGATATTTAGTCATATACCCATTCTTAGCACTAAAACTATAAATAAACCCTACACTATTTAATTTCTATAAACAAACCAAAAAAAAAACCCCAAAAATGATAGCTGGCCATATTGAATTTAATTTTGATTATTAAATTACTTTGATGCCCTATTGAGTGTTTTATGGTTTTTTATGAGGTTTTGGGATTAGGTTTGTTTTAAGAAATCAATAGCAGTTTTGTAATTTAAAAGAAGTTAAAAGCCATTTTGTTATGTTGTAAATAGGCTTTGGGTGTATTTCTAAAGTCCATTTCATATAGGGTTTTATATAATTTGGGCTACTATATTGGCTATAATAGTGAATAGTCATATACCTATTCTTAGCACTAAAACTATAAATAAACCCTACACTATTTAATTTCTATAAACAAATCCAAAAAAAAACCCAAAAAATGATAGCTGGCCCTATTAAATTTAATTTTAATTATTAAATTACTTTGATGCCCTATTGAGTGTTTTAGGTTTTTTTTTATGAGGTTTTAGGGTTGGGTTTGTTTTAAGAAATCAATGACAGTTTTGTAATTTAAAAGAAGTTAAAAGCCTTTTTGTTATGTTGTAAATGGGCTTTGGGTATGTTTCTAAAGTCCATTTCATATAGGGTTTTTTTAAAAATAATTTGGGCTCCTATATTGAGTATAATAGTGAATCTCCCATAAAAGAATGTACCCAAAACCAGACAAACAAATGTAAATTTTGAAAAAAAGGACATAATGACATAAGATGAAAAGGACTGTCCAGTAAAAAAAATTCCACCAAAGAAAATTTGAAGTTTTATCTTTGAGAATGAAGTATTATTGGACCAAACCAAATAAATGATTAATAAGCACGTGTTTAATTTCATTGCGTATGGCATTGGTTAAAAGATGTAATTTTTGGCATAATCTAATTTTATTGGAAGGCGATGCAAACATTTGTAACATTTAGCTTCCACGATTGCCAAGGCCAAAAGCCTATATTAAATAATTTTTTTATAAAAAAAAAAAAAAGACAACCAAATGAGCCAAATTAATCGGACAAGAAGAACTATCATATTCTCTCCTTATCCTACTTTTGAAAACCTAAAAACCAATTAAAAATTTGCAAATATAGGCTTAGCCAAGTTGACTAGATAAGATGAGGATATGCTCCCCACTTTGCTCTTGAGTTCGAATCCCACTCTTTATAATTTAGATAGATTAAATTAGAATATCACTTGTATATAAAGAAAAAAAAAACAAAAACTACCTCGTAAATGGTATAATAATTTGAATGATCACACCCCTATGCAGTAATATACTACTGTAGCTGTGCAGTCTTTTTGCTATATTATTATTCTCTGATGAATTTCATTTTTATAATACAGAAGAACCCCACTTTTTTCAGGTCCAACAGCTGAACAGCACGACAAACTTGCAAGAATTTTTCATGTTAGTGAGTGTCATTTTCATTGTATAATATTCAAAACAAATGAAGAAAAATATATTCTTGCAGATTATTGTGAATAAGGATCAATGTTTGCATTAAAATATTTAGGGGGGGTTTGATTTATTTGATTATAGAATGAAAAAGCAGTGACACACAAGTCGTCCTTTGGTTCTTGTCACTTCTGTCAGAGATGTAAATTAAATTTTGGTGGTGTTTATTATCGTCACCAAGTTGACGGGAATTTAAAGGGAAACCACAACAAGTCAAATTTGATATCTTGGTTTTTTCTATGGGGACTTTTCTGTTCTGTTTCTTCTTCCTTTGGGATATTCCTTTTAACTTTACAGGAAGAAATTAGATGAATATTATTAACAAGGCTTATTTTAAAATTCATACAGTTAAGCTCTCAGAACTGTATTAATGTCTCCTTAATTTGTTTGCTGGAGTTTCTGTATGTCCGCTTTATATATGCTTATAACTGTAATAATATATATACATAAGCCAGACAGACTATGATCTTATGGCCATGTTTTAGATATCCCACTTCATATATTTATGATTTTATATTATTCCGAAAACTTAATTAATTATGCTAACTATTTTATGTTTTACATAGCATATCTCATTCAGATATCCGCACATTATTACCGTGCGGATGTTATTGTAAACAAGTATAGAAAGGTAGTAGAAAATACATGACGTCCGCATGATAATAACGTCTGGACTTACGTATAGAAGAATTTCTGTTGTCTTGCATATATATATATATGTGGTTGTTTCCTTCACATTTAGTTAACCTAGTTTTTCAAGGAGATCATGAAAAGATTAAGACGTTTCATATAAATTTTGAATTTGAGAGTTGGTCTAATTAATGGGGCCAACTTTTTGAACTTCTAGCTTGGTGAGGCCGCAACCAATTTCAAACTATGTCAACCAATTCTAACAAAGTCAGGACCATGGCTTACCAAACATTAATTGCAAAAGTTTGCAAAATGTCAACAGAAAGTAAATATTGTAATCCAAAATCTTGCAGTTTACAACTGTAATCGACTAATATTGTACTTTGTAGCAGTCAGCCAACAGATCAAATGCTCCCACACCAGATTGAATTTACTTCTCTGACCTTTCCCAGGAACGTAAGTCGTAACTAAACAGGTTAGGCATAGCGGATAGATGGTGTCAGGCTTAAATCATCCCACTGAGTTCTGATAAATAAATAAAAATTTATGGTTAACTACATAAAAGTACCCAATCTTTCGGGGTCGTGAATTCACGGGATCTAACTAGAGTTTATATTAATGATCATACCCGCTTAATCTGCCTTATAAACTTTGTATGAATAATTGAAATCCCTAATGGGTTGGAAACAGAAAACCAAGAAAAAGGTGGTTGAATTTGGAAATAAAGTAGAAAGGAAGCTTTAGTTAGTTAACTAACAAGAGTTGGAAGTAATAAACTAATCATGTGGTAAACAATAATCTAAAATTAACAAAGGTCTCTGCTAATTAACATCTGCCTGCTGTATTCACATCCGGAAGAAATTGCTTGAATTTAAAACAAGTACGATTGACATTCATGGCTCAAGCTAGCACACGCTGGCTGAATTGATAGTTATTACATATACATGTATAATTGAAGCTTTGTTAGGTAACAATCGGCATCGAGCTTATTGACACATTTGGCATTTGAAATTAGTACTCAGAACATCCAAAGACCAGATTTAGTCTATTTGAATGCTCTCTAATATGCAAACTTGCACATGATTTTCCTTTGCTTTTCTTCAATTTCTGTGGAAAAAGGCATACTTCATGTCCTTTTTTTTTTCTTATTTAATCTGTCTAGATTGAGAAATATGAATTTATAACCATCTCGTACTGTTTGGAAGAAGAAAAGAATTATGACATGTATGAGTCCCATGTATCTCCTTCAAGCACATAGATAATAATTTGAAAGTGAAACTCAAGATGAATGAATGCATTGTGAGCAGACATGGCTGAATGCACTTATATCGAAGGGACCATTAATAATATGTATACTTCTGACACATATAGCGCTAGGGTTTCACTATGCTCTTATAGCTAGCCTTAAGGGAGTAAGAATCTTCAATATTTAAATCTAAAATGGATAATATGACAAGAAGAATATATGCACTTTGCCCAGACAAAGAGAAGAAGATGGTTTTTATTGAAATATTTGCAAGGAATGTAGATTATCTTTGCATGCAGTATGCAGAGGAGGGTGTTAGCATGTGCCAGTTCAACTGTGTACAAAATATAGCATTACTCTTTTCAAAATTTAATATCTCTCTCTCTCTCTCTCTCTCTCTCTCTCTCT